ATGCTTTTTCTGCATCTACTGATATGATCGTGTGGTTTTTGTCCTGACTTTTGTTGATACGGTACATCATATTGATTGATTTGTGTATGTTGAAACATCCTGGTGTCTCTGGGATGAATACAGCTTGATCATAGTGTATGATCGTTTTTATGTGCTGTTGGATACAGCTTGCTAAGATTTTGTGGAGAATTTTGCATCCATATTCATCATATACCTATAGTCAATTAATTTTCTACAAAGGAGGCAATAATATATATACAGTGGAGAAAAGACAGTCTCTTCCGCAGTGGTATTTGGAAAGTTGGACAGCTGCATGTAAATCAATGAAGTTAGAACACACTCTCACACCATACATAAAAATAAACTCAAAATGGCTTTAAGGCTTAAACATAAGACAGGACACCATAAATCTCCTAGAAGAGAACATAGGCAAAACATTCTCTGACATAAATTGTAGCAGTGCTTTCCTAGGTCAGCCTCCCAAGGCAATAGAAATGAAAGCAAAAATAAACAAGTGGGATCTAATTAAACTTATAAGTTTCTGCACAGCAAAGGAAACCATAAACAAAATGAAAAGACAACTTACTGATTGGGAGAAAATACTTCAAACGATGCGACTGACAAAGGCTTAATTTCCAAAATACACAAACAGCTCATACAACTCAATATAAAAAAATAAAGAACCCAATCAAAAAATGGGCAGAAGACCTAAACAGACATTTTTCCAGTGAAGACATACAAATGGCCAACAGGCACACGAATAAATGCTCAATATCGCTAATTATCAGAGAAAACCAAAATCAAAACTACAATGATATATCACCTCACACCAGCCCAAATGGCCATCATTAAAGAGTCCACAAACAAGAAATGCTAGAGAGGATGTGGATAAAAAGGAACCCTCCTACACTGTTGGTAGGAATGTAATTTGGTGCAGCCACTATGGAGAACAGTATGGAAAATATTAAAAATAGAGTTACCATCTGATCCAGCAATCCCACTTCTGGGCATATATCCAGAGGAAACTCTAATTTGAAAGGATACATGCACCCCAATGTTCACAGCGACACTGTTTATAATAACCAAGACACAGAAGCACCCTAAATGTCCACTGACAGATGACTGGATAAAGAAATTGTGGTATATGTAGACTCAGCCATAAAAAAGAATGAAATAACAGCATTTGCAGCAACATGGATGGACCTAGAGATTATCATACTGAGTGAAGTTAAGCCAGAAAGAGAAAGACATGTCATATGATATCACTTATATGTGGAATCTAAAAAAATAACACAAATGAACTTATTTACAAAATGGAAACAGATTCACAGACATAGAATGCAAACTTATGGCTACTAAAGGGGAAAGAGGGGGAGGGATAAATTGGGAGTTCGGGATTTGCAGACACTAACTACTATATATAAAATAAATAAAAAGGTCCTACTGTACAGCATAGGGAACCATATTCAGTATCTTATAATAATCTATAATAAGTAAGAATATGAAAAAGAATATACATATGTATAACTGAGTCACTATGCTGTACAACAGAAGCTAACACAACATTGTAAATCAACTATACTTCAATTTAAAAAAAAACAGAAATTATGTATAATTTGGTGCTGAATCATTTGCCTACAGTCTGTGAGTAGTGTAGGAGTTCACAGAAGAGGCATGCCAATGGCATTTGTGGTCTTATTAAAAAGGCTTTATGGAAGAAGGAAGATTTGAGATCAGCCTAAAAAGGGGAGCAAGCTCTGCTTAGGTAGAATGAAGAGCAGTGTTTACCCAGGTTAGTCCCCTGGGCAAAGACAGGGTAGCACGGTCAGGATCACACTTGCCTTCTTCTTGGACCATCTATAGCACCCCACATGGGAGCTGGGGGTTTATTTATACATTTGCCAGCCCCCTGTGAATTCCTGGAAGAAAAGGAACACATCATTTTCATCTTTATAGTCCTTAAAAGTAGTGATTCTCAATCCTGCATTCTCAATCCCATGCATATCACCTGGGGAGATTCTGCAAATACCCATGCTGGGGCCTCATGCCAGACCCATTAAATAAGAATCTCAGAGTACATCTCAAATCTCAGAGGATATTTTTGGTGTTTTTTTCAAAGCCTCCGAGGCCTTTATAACATGGTTAAGAATCATTGCTTTAAAGCATCAATCACACATGTATATATGCGTGTTCAATTGGTGAGATGGTCATGCGGGATGGAATACAGCAGAAAGCACCCTGGGCTGGGATTAGGGATTGCAGACTCCAGCTGCAGCTCTACCTGAACTGCTGGTCGAGTTCTTTGGCC